GTGAAGCATGCCAGCCGTAACTGTATCCAAAGTCTTGACCAAAAAAATCAATAAGAAAAGCACCACGTTCATGAAGGAGTCTTTAAAACAAGAACATCGGCACATCACTATTCGATTCTATTTTTTATTTTTACAGTCACTTGCGCAGGAATGAACAAATCCCAATTGCATTTGAAAGCAGTGTAACGTATGAGTTTTCAATAAGTACTCTGGATCTACTACCAATAAGCTATCATAAATTTATGGTAGCTAAGCCATTAAGGAAAAAATTAGGATTCCACTGATATAGTTGTTTTTTAGTCTCAGTGAATTGCACAAACTTCTCTGCTCACCTGTTGGGATTCATTTCTGGTCCATAGGCGAAGTAATACAACTGCCCCTCTGGGGCTTTAGCGTTAATACTGAAGCAAAGGGGTGGAATCGGTGCAATGGGCTTCTTCTTCGCATCATATCTGACACAAAATGTTTGAAAAAGAAAAGGTTCGGTCACTATTTTAAAAGCAAAGCAATATGAAGAAAGTGGTACATGGAGTATGCGATATACTTGATGACTAACATAAGATACAGTGTAGTGTAGTTCTCACTCCTAAGAGTGTCCAGCATCTGAGCATATGTGCACTCAAACGGAGACAGCAAATAGAAAAACTTGAGTGTACAATTTTTGTTTTAGTCCGAGTGGTGAGAACATGAGCAAGACGAGCGTAAAAGAGCAAATTTGTGTGAACCCTCGCCAGCTCGTTTCGCTCTAAGTCTCTCGCGCTAGGTTTAATCGTGGGCTTCCTATGCGGGCGAAATATTATCTGTTTTATCTTATTTCGTCTTCAGGTGCACGACGGTATCATAGTTTTGCAATTTTTTTTTGTAATTTGCTTTTGTTTCACGACACTTTTATTCGAACAGCCTTCTTTTACGAGAGCTTCTATTTTGTATTTCAGTGGGCACAAAATGCTTTGCAAAATATACGAACCTTGACTCGGACAAAGTCATCGTTTTAGCAACCACTTCCAATTCTGTGGAATCATTGCCAAAGTCTTCAACAAAACCAGCATCAACGCCATCATCATCGTCATCAATGATACTATCAGTACACTCATCAACTTCGTCATACGGTTGTCCATCAGTCACAGGATATAAGTTCTCATTACTTGAACTCCATCCCAATTCAGTGCTATAATTACTTTTATCGATAGTATCACCATAAACAGATGAACCTGTCACACACGACATCGTTTCCACGCCAGAACTGCTATCTTCCAAAGTGTTAACACCTCTATATTCACTTTTATCGTCCATAGTCACAAACACACTTGTTTGGGAACTTCGAGGAGACTTTTCACCGTTCGAGCCTTTATCCGGCTTCTCGCAAAAAAATAGAGTCTTTTCTATGGAAGACTTGCCACTTGACATTTCTACATGTTCTTTTCCCAGTTTAATAGCTGATGCAATATCGCTTACATTATCACCATCGCTTCCTTTACTCGTCATTTCTTTCGCTGCCACAGCCACGATGCTGGACGATGAACATTCCTTCTTCAAGGCACAAACACTAGTCCTATCTCGATTCTGCTCGTCCAATATTTTTCTGTACTGCTCAGTGAAATAACCCGGTAACTTCTCCCTTGCATGCTTTGTCAAGTCATTAGCTCTTCCAGTTGTCATGGAAGTAACAGTGTTTGAATTTTCTACCTCACATAAAGTTTTATCTTTCTTTTTTCTATTTCCCATTCGTTTACCTGAGGGTGGTCTTGGCTCTTTGCTGCCTTTTACCAAAGGCGTTTTATCACTGAGAGCAGCAGCCGTCTGTCTCGTATAACCAGCAGACCGCACCCTTTTTGCCTTTGGTCTCTCCTCTCTAGGAGTCCGAGGCTTCATTGCAGAAGTGCTTAGATTCAGAGAGTCAAGTACTTTAAAAATATCCGCCGAAGGTATCCTGTTCGAATCTAAGGCATCGCTATCGCTATTCAGGTATTCATCACCAGTAATATCGTTGTTAGACCGGTCAAGCGTTCCCACGCATGTACGTCCATTTCTGGAGACTACCCTTATATGAACATCAATGATTTTATTAGAATTTAGACTCCTAGAAGACTCCTCAGCTCCTGGTTGAAATTCTGGAGGAAACCTATCTGTGTTCTTCTGGTGCGACTTGATCATTGAAGAGTCAGCAGAGAATTCATTCTGAAGCTCACAATATGAAGTTCCCTTGGTTTCCCTGTCACCATAGGTTTTTAACTGTCCTTGCTTCCCTTGAGAAGTAATAGTTTTCTCATCGCTTGCCTTTCGGAAACAGTCAGAGTTATTACTTCGCTCTCGATCAACTTCATAGGTGGAATCAGCAGGAAGAAGATTCTGTCGTGCCCATCGACCTTCGCCTTCATCGCTGTCGTCGTCTGAGTGTTCTTTTTTTGTGTCATCAAAATAAGGTTTACAACCACTAGCAAGAGTTTCGTTCTTATTTATAGGGGAAAGCAGCTTTTCCTCAGTTTCATTCTCATCCTGGTTAAATACCGTCACTTGTTCAGCTTGATTTTCCACATCAATGCTGTCATCACTAAGTCCATCTTCAGAAAAACTACTATCACTGTGGCGGTTACTCTCGTTGACAGACGATGCACAGGAAGTGTTATGAATGGAACTTTCTGGGCGCCATAACTGACTAGGACTTCTAAGCCGTGCAGCGGCAGGTAAGGCTGTGTCCGAAGTTGAGAACACTCTAGAGGACTTGACACGCTCTAGTGAAGGGCTGGTCTGCCTTCTTGCAAAACTATGATACCGTCGTGCACCTGAAGACGAAATAAGATAAAACAGATAATATTTCGCCCGCATAGGAGGCCCACGATTAAACCTAGCGCGAGAGACTTAGAGCGAAACGAGCTAGCGAGGGTTCACACAAATTTGCTCTTTTACGCTCGTCTTGCTCATGTTCTCACCACTCGGACTAAAACAAAAATTGTACACTCAATTTTTTCTATTTGCTGTCTCCGTTTGAGTGCACATCTGCTCATGCACTTGCGATGGCGCTGAAGAGCGGGTACTAGCGAGTGCATTTGGGCAGAATCGTAATTGCACAGTATATAGAGACAAACCCTGACATTTATGCAGTATGTAAGATCTACTTAATTCCATCTACACGGTATTAGTAAGCTTAGGGTCACTTAAACAAAGCACAGACTTACCAGCCACAATTCCTTGACAATTGTTCACGAGAGGACCAGAGGCTGTCATAGGCCGCCCAAGCGCCTTAAGGTGACCTCTTTGTAACTGTGCAGGAGGAAGAATCATATTTCTAGTGCGTTTTGTCCTTTCCAGCTGCTTCCTAATCTTTTCAACTCCAGCAGTGGTCCGCTGCTTCAATTCAAGACTAGGATCAATGACCTGCACACAATGGAAGAACATGAGTTTTGATGTGCCCCAATACCAAATAAACAACCCACAAGGTGCTTATTAACTCCATTCCAGGGATATCACACTAAGAGCTTCTTAGGGAGAGGGAAGGGGGTGAGTATTAAGTTTTTTATTCTGAAATGTCAACTAGATTTAACAAACACTATGTAAAGCATGCATCTCTTAGGTTGCAAAACCAACAATAGTTAAAATGGAAGCTGTTAGAGGCTTTCAAACATAGTGGTATTTTTAATTTAAAGTTACTGAGCCCTAATGTATGTTAATGCTGATAATGAGATAAGAACATAGCTATTTAGATCTAGCTTTACTAGAGACTTACGTCACCAGTTACATGTAAAATCAACCTCTGACCAAAACCTTACCAAAACCTTACCAAAACTGGTCCTTTCACATCTTTCTCTGGCCCTTGTTTAAAAGGAGAAGTGATGTAAAAATTTCCTTTTGGGATCTGCACTCTGCTGTGTCTGATTCTGTTTCGAGAGGTGGATAAACTTTTCGGTAACCTGGATTGATCTCTTTCACTTTCAGCAACTAATGAGGAATTTTCTGTCAAATTATACAGAGTGGTATTAACTTTCAGAACCACCAAATATAACCTAAACAACTGCCATAACATGTGAGAAGCATGTTCATTTATGCAAGGAATTTTCTTTTTTGAGGAGGTGACATTTCTTGCATGAGGCAATTAAAGAATGGAAATACATGTACAGGTAGTTTACAAAAATGTTCTGTAACAAAGTGCTACTGGGACAACCAGTTCGAAGTGTCAGTCTATATAATCCCTGACAAGAATTGTAGAACTTTGTACATGAAGACGTTAAGAGTTCAATTCAAGAATTAAGGGTAAATTAACAGTTAACTTAATCACAATAACCCAAATTAAGACAGACAGATGAAAGTGAATTTGAAAATGCTCATGAATTTACATGGGTTAATTATTAATGAGCCCTAAATAAACAACTTCCAACAAAACATTGTAAAAGATGTACTCTTACCGAGGCTAAGTTCTGAAAATCTCGTGTCTATGCTCAAGTGCTTTCCTGGTTGCTGAAAAGTTTAAAACATTTAGAAACAACAATAGTTACACTATCAAATAAAGAAAATCCAAAGAGATTTCTTACCATCATGATGACCAGGTCATATACCACAGAAGGTTAGTTATTAGCCGGAATAATGGCACCTACTGCATAATGTCCCCACACAGTAGACTGCATGTACATGTTCTAAAGATGCATTTTTCCAATTTTCAAAATCATCTATCCTTTTTGTAATCTTCAAGTAAGGTGAAATATAAAATAAAGTTTACATCAAAATATGTACAGGAGTAGGGCCTTGGGATTTCTGTTTTGCGGTTGTGGCAATTTTTTTAGATCTGTTTTTTCATTTTTGTGCCAAAAAACTTAGGTTTTGCAGTTTTGGTGCTCATTGCAGTTCACAGATTTTCTGTTTCAAATAAGCGTTTGGTTTTCAGTTTTCCGCAAAAATACCAATGGATTTTCAGATTTGGTTTCCAATGTGGTTTCCAGTTTTTCTTGTTTGGGTTCCAGTTCCTTTTCAATCTGAGCGGCAATTTTTCACCTCTACAGACTTTGCATAGCCTCAAAATCTCTTTTTGCTCCACTTGTTCACCTCTGTAATAGATCAATTAGGGTTTTCACACTGTGGTGTGAAAATTTATCGCTTTTGACAATATTACATGCAGTTTTTGGTTTTGATTGAATTTTTTCTTGTGGTTTTGTTGGTGGATTTTTCTACAGTTTAGTGGTATCTAATAGAAACCAATTCCCCCTTGTTCAGTTGACAGAATCAATGTATAGCTGTAAATGGAGCTTATCCAAAGCTTTAAGCTTGAGGACTTAATGTGAACTTAGAGAAAGATGTTTATTTTTCTTGTCTCTACCCTGGGACAAAGATAAAATTCTGAGTCCCCATAAGGAATTGAGCCTCAGACCTTTGAATCAGCACTCTGGTGCTCTGCCACTTAGCGGCATTCAGAATTTTTTTTGGAATGGGAAAGATGATATGTTCTGAGTTTGGTGAAGAAGTAAAAATATGTTTTCTTGTCTTGTCATGAGCATGGGACAAAGAAAAAATTCTGAGTCCCCATGAGGAATCTTACCAATTCCTTATTCTATTTAGAATCAGTAATTTAAGTTTTGAATTTCAGTATTATGAGACCTTTCCCAACTTATAAAATAATGTTATATTCTCTCAATAGTTTGGCCTTTGATAGTAATAAACATTACTATTGAAATGTTTACAGAGGTATTGAGAGTGAAAATTAGTGTATCAATATTAAAACTTTTCTTTTTTTTTGAGTAACCTACACAAGGTTCAACTGATCAATTAGATGAAAAAAAGGTGTTGTTAAAGATTGTTAAATTCCTAGGTATGGTGAGGTACAGTACCAAGGCTAGTGATGGCAGGGTCAGTTTCTGAAATATTAGGTCAAGAAACTAATGGTAACTATACCATAAAAGCAAGTTTAACAAATGAAGTTTCGATTTCCTGGGCGATTTATTGTACTTTGCCATTAGTCTAACCATCGAAAGTATTATTAGTGCTTCACTCAATTGAGTTTAAATCCTCCAATAAACTTCTAGGAAATCAGTAACTTACTGTTTACTTTGCCTACCGATGCAACATAACCGTTTCCTTTAAATTCGTTACTACACTTATTTTCGGGAATCACAATTTGAGATTTACAGTTTGTAGGTAAAGTTAAATCATGATTTTTAGTGTCAACAAATTAGACCTATCTAAAAAAATTTTCTGCTTCTTTACTTTAAAAACTTTCGTTTGCATCTTGCAAGCGAACTGGTGCGTAGAGCAGCTTACTCGATTAAGTAGCAACGGCTGTATTTCATTTCCAATCATAAAAATAAGTTACCTGATGGTTTGTACCACTCGGAGGCCTGACATCAAACTCGATATCATAATCTTCCAGTTCTTGTCTGCATCTCTCGGTTACAGGGCAGCTTCTTATACTTGACGCACTCGACTTTCTCGGACTCTTAGTTAAGCAAACTTCGTCATTAAGACTGATTGCATCCATGAACTAAAACTTTTCAAGACCCGTTGTTCATCAAAATATCAAGTTTACGAAGAGGGATTAGACAGTTTTCAAACCTTGGCATTACCATATCTCCATGGATTCAGACGCCATTTTGATAATTCCCGCCTTCCAAAGCATCATGGAAGTAAATGCTGCTAAGCACCATGGGAAATTCAATATGGCGGAAGACACGTTAAGACAGTCTTGCCAAAGTGGTAAAGATTCCTACCTTTTTGATTTGGCCGGAGACAATGTTAAATGGAAAACAATATCTCTCACTCACGTGGAATATCCAGAAGGTAATAACATAATTTTTTGGACATCTGTCGTCTTTTTTTAGCACCATCAACCCGCTATTGGATTTGCTGCAAGCATGTTAAGTTTTTACCTCAGATCTGGTACGGTTATATAAGCCCACAAGGTAAAACCAGCTCATGTCATTTTTCCTTATACGTTACAGGAGATATTACGGGGAAGATCTTGGCATGGTGTAGTCTGCTTCCTATATTTATCGTGGTTGGTTTTATTACTTTAATAATTTTCCGACGTGAAGTTCACACGGTAGGTTGGTTTATTTTCAATGTATGGACTGTGATTGAAATCCGGAAGAGAGGTCGTCTTCGATAGAAGATGTAATTTTACGTCACTATTTACAGTGTTTTACTCCTAGAATTACAGCTCATGAGTATTAACCGGTTCAATACCCATTTTTTAGCCTAGAAGGTACATGTATCTTACTCGTGTGCCTTGCAGTAATATATCCCCTATCAACAAATTCTTGTCTGTCATAGGGTAACATTTCTTGACAATGTCACTCATCAGTGTAACACACATCAGTACTATGTATGATTTCCTGTAAATCTTATGTGAAGACATAAAGGGAGAGGAGAGATATTTACTATTTTTTAAGTCAAGTTTTGAAAGGGCTACTTTGCATTGATATCCTTGTTGAAGATGTAAATCCTTGCAAATCATGATGTTTCAACTTTGGAGGTTTTGTTAGATAAGCTACACTGATCCATCTCACAGGTTAGCCAAGTAATATAAATAACTAAAATCTGAAATGAGCCAAGCATCCTGTACAAAGCTTGCATCTGTAATATCAAAGGCAGACGGTTGAGAGCTATATGTACCACTGTAATGATATGATAAGGAAACTAATATCAGGTGAGGCCCAGTGGTTGATTATTGAAAGATGTGAGTTACTTTGGACTTTAAAATATCTTGGTTTTTCAACAAGGATTAAAATTCTGTGCACACCAGATATTGTAAGAAGCTTCAAAGAATGTCTGGTTTTAATTTTTTTTGCATGCACCAAATGTGTGTGTTTGCAAATAGTTATGACTCATTTTAAGTAAATTATATCAGTCTATTTCCCTGTATTATTATGTGTATGTATTTACTTACAGTCTTTCTTTGCATTGACAGAGAGGGTTCTTCTGTTGCAGATGACATTCTTTGGAGGAATTTTAATGAATGAACTTGTTAACATGGTGGTGAAACACTCTTTGGCATATCCTAGACTATGTGGGGGTCATGTGTTTGCACATTCTGGAAGTGCAATGCCATCAGATCATGCTCAGTTTATGGCTTTCTTTGCTGTGTATTCTGTCCTGTTTATATATGTAAGGTAAGCAAACACTCAGGGTCTAATGAAAATAGATAAAGGGGTAAGTTTCTAAAGAAACTGTGGTGCTGCGTCGGTGGGAGAGTATAGCAGGTAATTTAGTGTTAACAACTGAGTTGAAAACGTAAATTAGTCACTGTAAAGGGTAAAAAAGCTGACGTAAAGGGTAAAAAAGCTGACATATCGAACGTTAGCCCTTCAAAGCATTAGCCCTTCGCAATAAACAGATAATATGCTCCAAAATGAAATGTGCAGTGGGAAACTAGACACTGCTATCCACATGCACATAAATGGTGCTAGTCCTTCAAGGAAACAGCAGCTACATGTAACTGTAAGAAAACTAGTGCAGGTCTGACCTTAAGAAAACTATCCATAAGAGAGAGAGAGTTGCAAAAAATATAGAAAACACAAGTTTCTATCAGGTAAATATTAATCCCTATCTCAAGGGATATCTTTATCAAAGCCTTGCCAGTAATACCTCATTTTATTGACAAACAAGTAAAAATTCATTTGTCTATTTTCAGGCTTCTGCATTTTTCTCAAGCAACCACAGTATGGGATGATTTAATAGACAACTTATGGCGGCATGTACTAGCAGTTGGTGTTGTATTGGCTGCTGTTGCTGTTGGATTTAGTAGGTTGGTGACAGTATGTTGGTCACTTCAAAGAGGTTGCTATTACTGTCAGAAACATCTGATGGTAATTTTTTCTTAACAATGATGAAGAGTATTGATTTTTGATAAAACATTAGAACTACTCATACAGTGTACCCCACTTATCTCAGTGTCTTCAGCTTTAACTCTTTACACCCTAACATCAGAGTGCATATTCTCCATACTGTCCTCTATAAATTTCCAACATGTAAGGTTCTGACCAGGAGAATTTGTTTCAAAATCAAGAGCTTCTTCAGTTGGTGATCATTTCCTTCATTCTTGTGACCTTAATGTAGAATTTTGGGGAGATATTGTAGGGAGAAATTAGATACTAGATCTTTATTAGGGGTCAAAGGGTTAAGTAATTGGGGGTCTTGCTACTCTCCTTAGATGAGATGCTTGTCACTGCAGGTTACCCCTTCTTCCCTCTGGAGGGCTCTTGTGAAAAGCCAGTCACTGCTTATTTTTCTTGGCTGTTCAAAAGAACATTATCTGCTATTTCACAGAAATACTTACCAAAACAATAATTATCAAATGAATGTATTTTTGGTCAAATATGACAATTCATTGCATTCAATTTAAAATCTTGCTTGTCTGCTGCCAACCTCATACCCTGGAAACCTGAGGACACGACACCTAAGGACACAACACAATGTCTCACCAAGGACTCAGTGGTAGAGCTTTTGCTCCAGAGCTCCACCTACACTGCCAGACCTTCTCTAGGATAAATGTAACATTCAAGTGATAAAATGTTAATGGATACTTAAGTTTGCAGTTTTTTTTTTATTTTACAGAATATACCTCAGATATCACACCCCACAGCAAGTGGGTTATGGCTTTCTGCTGGGATGTGGACTTGGCATTGCTTGGTTTCTTTTCACACAGACAGTTCTCACACCAATCTTTCCAACTGTAACAACTTGGTAAGTGACAATTATATAATATTAAGTACACGACTTGTACATGTAGCCTTTTACATGTAATTGCAAAAGTTGATTCACAATCTCTTTGAACTTCTGATCTATAGAACAAATTCTTGTACACATTTTGTTTCCTGGTATTAAGATGGAGCTACAACACATGCAATGTTGAATACAGTTGAACTCGGTAACTTGAACTGCCAACTTTGTTATCACAGGTTTTGAGTTATAGGGGTTTTGAACAAAAAGACCAGAAACACTTGATTAAAGAGGTTTTATCCTTATACATGTTTTATTTTAAGATTTCTAGCAATGTAAGAGCATAATACAACAAAACAAAATGTAAGAAAACCACAAATACTCTAAAGTAGCTGCTCTTCAGAATGTTTGGCACTCAATCTCATTTTAACATTTGTTGAAAAATCTATTCAGACACATGCTTGATATGAAAAATAGTCTTCCAGTGCAAAATATTATGGCTCATTAGTCTGTAAAAGTGAAAACCAACTTCAAGTTATCAAGGGTAAAATAACAAAGAAAAGTTCATGAAGGAAAGTGAAAATCACTTCGAGTTACCAGGGTTTTGAGTTATTGAGGTTTTGAGTTATAGGGGTTAAAATTACAGTAAATATACTATATGAGGCAAATCTAAGGGAAATCAGTCTTGCGTTAAGGCCTTTAGCAGGGAATTCAAGTTACTGAGGGTTCAAGATATTGGCATTCAACTGTACTAAGATTCTGGCCATAGAAAGGATGCAATGATCTTTACAGATTTGTCTACTTACATGTAAAGTAGATTTCAAATGATAAGGGGAAATTGTAGTCCAATAGTTCTATAATTGATTTGATTACCTGCATAGTACATGTATATAAGTACAATTATACATTTAGCTTAGTTTTAGTGGGCCACAATATAACCAAGAGAGACATGGTCTCAGAGTGTTTGCTGTTTGTTATACAACTCATTTTTAACAGGCCTATCAGTGAATACTTAATGATCCGTGATTCAACGCTAATCCCATCAGTCATGTGGTTTGAATATACACAGTCAAGAACAGAAATGAAGTAAGTGTAATTTATGCACATTACAGCCATGGTTCAAAATCCTTAAAATTTACTAGGTATTTGTGACTTTTGATGCAACACTAGTCAGAGATCTCTATCTTTTGATCAGAGGATAAATAATTGTTAAATGATGAGTAGTAGCGTTAGTCTATTTGATGAGTAAAGTGTATTTTTCTTTGTCTAAACAATAGGATTCTGATTGAGTTGAACTGAGTTGAAGCAGTCACTTAGAGGGTACAGTGTATATGTGCCTCTCTGCCCTAAAGCAAAATATGCATTTCTTATGCACCAATCTATTTGAAGCTTCAACATTCTTCCTTTCCCCTTGGACAACCCATGGGAATTTTACTGTTTTCCATGCCCTAGGAGTGGGGAATTTGAACCTTGCATGGGTGGGGTGGGGAGGAATTTGAACCAGTGGAATGCGTGACTTTTGATTTTACAACATTTTTTGATCACACAGAGAATTGTTTATAAAAAATTGTGCTTGACTGGGGCATTTGAATGCAATTTTGGCCCATGGTGGGCAGGAATTTCGACAAACCTATCTTCAAAAGTTTAAATGCCCTGGGGGTTGCTTGTGGGAGGGATGTTGCAGCTTCAAATTGATTGATGCATTACAATCTAGACTTGAAACCTGTACTATTGCAGTCTATCCTTTGTTGCTACAGTAGCCTCTGTTAAAGTGAATTTGCTGCACAACAGTAAATATGAACACTTAACAAATATTTTTTCTGTTTCTTTTCTTTATTAGAAAACGACAAAGAAGAGGCTCACACAACAATTATTTTAAGTCTCATACTTCTTGAAAAGAAAGATGAGGTCTGTGCAAGGTTGTGCTCAGCAAAACATAAATTGAAGGGAAATACAGGAGATTCCTCTGTTGATCGATTATCAGAACTCATCAATCTTCAGTAAATCCTAATTACTGATTAATTAAGATTAATTAGGATATTTACAAGTAACCAGCCTTAAATTAAAAGCAAAACTGTCGAAGTTTGCATCCTCTTTCCTTGACAGATTTTGTTCCTGATGCTAAATGCTTTCAGTAATCTTTCCAAAGGAAACTGGGGGTATAAAGTAGAAGAACTATTGACAGACTTCTAGAGCAAACATGCAGTGGAGATATTGATTGCAAAAAAGATGCTTATCTGACAGAATTTTAACCCATTTGTATCAGCCTCTTCATCACAATTTTGTCAAGCCTTCTTTGTAACATGCTTTCTTTTGCAAGGCTGTGCTAGTGTGCTTATCTTTCCAATTGTCTGGTACCCTGCATTTTTAAGGCACTTACTAAATGGAGGGAAAAGAAAAGACAGATGAAGTGAGAAAAAGAGGTGGGAGATTGAGGAGCATTTTCCTTTACCAAATCCCCTTCAACTTTCACTCTTTTTCATTTTCTGCTTTCATGCCTGTCTACATCTGACCAATAGTCAACTACAGGCTTTTTAATCGCTGGCAGTTTTTCAAAGAATTTTTCTGTTCTTGTGTAATTCAACAAGACAAATTATAAACAACTAATGTTGTTTTTTTTCTTTATTTCTGTCGCGTAGAATAGTAATACACTGAGGTGTGGATGATTTATTCAGTAGTTAATACCGTCATTTGAATAGAGACAAAGAGAATAGTAAAATTATATGGGTGGCCAAGGGAGGTATTGGTCCCTTAATTTTAAATAACAGAAAGTAGAAAGAATATTTCCGAGGGACAAAATTTGACAATTTATTTGGAGGGGGGAGTGTTTGGCTAAGTATTTTGGGGATAGCTAGGGTAGATTAATGATTTCCATAAGGAATTTAAAGAAGAAGGAGTTGGTGTAACCCACATGGTATTGACAGTTTCGTTTTCTTAATGCAATTGGCCGGGATTTTATGTGACTTATATTTTTACTGTAGAGGGATTTTAGTCCACTTTACAAAAAATTGGTTTTCTTTTGAAGCGATCGATGTCTTTACATGGACCTCCTTGTTGCCTTAAATTGGAAGTATCAACTTTCTCTGGAGGGGATAAGTGGTCTCTTTGAGAAAAATATATATATTTACTTTCTATTTGCGTTGCAAATAAGGAATAGTTCTATTTTTGAAGAAAATAAGACGTACCAAACGCTTCAGTGAAAATTGTAAGTAAGTTAAGAGCTTTGGGTATTATCAAGTTTTATTTGATTGGTTTTGTGATGTTGGTATGTCCTGCTGTTTTAAGGATTTATTGAAATGTCTCGAATTAACGTAAGTGGATCAATATCAGTATCTGGGTAACTACCCACCTACCCCTCCCCTAACCCAACATTAACCCTAAGTTGTTATCAATTGACTGGTGTTGAGTTGGGGGGGGGGGGGGGGGTAAGTGGGCAGTTGCCCAGATACTGATATTGATCCACGTAAGTTATATTTTCTTGACTTCGATTGTGCTTATCTTCAGTGTTGATGCGTTGTGTTAGTGAGCGTTTATTTTTGGGTCAGTTATTTTTGTCAAATGAAAATCACTAACAAGTACCAAACAAAAATTCTAATAATAAATATTTTATCTTGAGAAATTTCACAATTTGTGACCTCACTACTTTATCCAAGTTGAAGAATAAGAAATTTTTTTCTTGGTTCCTCGGTTTCGTGATTTCTTGCCAGGAAGGGGGGAGGGGAATGAGTTATCGAGGGTTTGAAAACCACGTTGCAAAACCACGGTTAACGTTTGGAACTAGTGTTGCTGTTTGAAATAGCTCTTTTTAAATTCAAACTACTTTTCAATTTCCCTCTATCGCCAGATTGGTAAGAGTTTTTCTCATTCGGAGTCTGCCAATGATCAACCATAAGTCACACACTGAATTGGAAGATTCTTTTGGTTTTTCTTGCAATCTCTTTCCCCGCTTTCGTTGCAACTCTTACCGAGGCTAACAGAGACAAAACAACTCCCGAAATTTTTCTTTGCTTTTCCAACTCGAAATTTAGATCTCACTAGTGAAATTAATGCGGTTTTAGGTACGTGTCGATAACTTTTGTGGTAAAGTGGATACAAATTGGCTCAAAGACGATTAACACCGCGCTCGCAATGCTAGAACCATCTATTTAACAGAAACGTGGTATTAATTTTAGAAGATTTGTTCTGCAGCGTTATTAATTTCGAGTGGTCATATTTTGAAGAACATCTGCTTTTAGTAAGACCTTACCATTGGTTAGATCTGAGTTTTCAGGTAACCTGAAACTTAGAAAAGTTTAACGTTTAACAAATAAATGCACGATTGAGTATGTCCAAAATTTCAAGAGAAGCTCTACGGCGAGTGGATTTTTCTTATGGCCAACATTCAAATAAATACTACCAATTTTACCTAACTACCATCGAGAGATCATGAATGCTTTGTGCGTCTTTATTATAATAACTCTCCTAGATCCGGTTTCAGCGTGTACTGATGGTAAGTTTTCTCTTTAATGTCTCTTTAAGGTTGCTTAACTTTGTTTTATATGCTACAGAAATTGGTTTCGTCCTTTCCAGGATGTTCAGCCAGCACTCGACTAACGATTTTCTCATCCTTAGGTCACAATTATGATATTTATTAGGCTCATAATAATTATAATGTCGATAACCTTGTTTGCAATTTAGGTCTGTTTTGTGTGAAGTTTCACATGACCTGCCCAACCCTTTTAAGCAAGTCTTTCATGTCAAACCCGTCTCTAGTATTCGTTACAACACGCTTCTAAATAATGCTTTTTTTTTTCCTTTTTGAATCAATCGTTTAAGATTTAGTAAGCTCCGACGACTATTGCTTGACAATGAAAAACTTTTCAATTGATCTAAGCCAGCTTTGGCGTGCCTTTTAGCTTTAATTAAATTCAAATGCAATTAAACTATAGCTCACTTCAAAAATTATCATGGCCTTGTCCGCGCAATAAAAAAGCGGAGTTTTACCAATGAAATGTGAGTGAAGGAGTTTGTGAGTGATAAGTGAAAAACCTTACTCACTCAAATATTATGATAAATCATATGATAAATGATAAACTGTACTGATGAGGATGGACATCTGCACATGTATGGCAGGTGGTCTAACGTAATTATAGCGGGTGGTCTAGGTCTAAGTACCTTTAAAAAATCTGTGGACGCAAACTTTGCTATGCAAATGAAAACGTGTTAAAGTAAGCTGAGAATAACGGGGTAATTTCGTATTATCAACTAAGTTAAAACGTAAATTGGCTTCCGTAAAGAGTTTAAAAGCTAACGTTTTCAGCATTAGTCCTTCGTCAATCGCTCTGACGAAGGGCTAACGCTCAAAATGTCAGCTTTTAAACCCTTTACTGTGGCAAATTTATGTTATCAACTCAGTTGATAGTACTTAATTATCCTGTTATACTCTCCCACCGACGCAGCACCACAGTTTATTTAGAAACTTACCCCTTTTATTCATTAAGCTGAGAATAATTTCCACTCAGTTTTCGTTCGATCTATTCTGATAAACGTAACTGAAGACTTCAACTAACTGTTTTACAGGAAACTGCCGCATAATAGAATTCCCAAGCTACCTTTCCATCGTTGGAAAACGCTTGATTAATCACCTAATCAAAACTATACCGGGAATGGACCAGGACTCGTGTGAGTGGCAGTGTTACCTGGACAACAACTGCGTCAGCATAAACTTACAGTTTGAAGGAACAGAACGAAACTGCGAGTTG